TGATTCTCTGCTTCCCTAAAATGTATGTACTTGGAGTTAGAGCTATCATAGAGACCCTGTCTCCAGCCCAGTATAAGAAAGATGTCTGGAGGTAGAGTTAAGTAAAAATATCTGTATCCTGATTTTTGGCCTCAGTGTCTGGATAAGATTGAAATAATTGGTTTGTGCAAAGTACAGAAGTCCTCAGTTTCTCCCAATTCCTGTATTAATGTAATGCAAGGGTGGGCAAACTACAGCCCATGGGCTGCATCTAGTCTGTCAGACATTTTAATCTGGCCCTCAAGCTCCTGCTGGAGAGCAGGGTCTAGGGCTTGCCCTGTTCTGGTGCTCCAGCCGGAGAGCGGGGTCAGGAGCTTGCTCCGCATATGCTGTGGCTCCGCGTGGCTCCTAGAAGCAGTGACATGTCCCCCCTCCAGCTCCTACACGTAGGGGCAGCCAGGGGGCTCTGCACAAGCTGCTCCCACCCCAAGCGCCACCCCCACAGCTCCTATTGGCTAGGAACTGCGGCCAATGGGAGCTGCAGGGGCAGCGGCTGGCGAACAGCTGCCTGGCCAATGCCGCACCTCCATGTAGGAGCTGGAGGGGGGACATGCTGCTGCTTCCAGGAGGTGCGGGGGCAGCGCCTGTGGACAGGGCAGTGCACAGAGCTGCCTGGCCGTGCCGCCGTGTAGGAGCTGGAGGAGAGACATGCCGTTGCTTCCAGGAGCTCCTTGACCTCCTCCTGTGCCCCAACCACCTACGTCAGCCCTGAGCCCCTTCCTGCACCCCAAGCCCCTCATCCCCAGCCTTACCCCGCACCTCAACCCTCTGCCCCAGCCTGGAGCCCCCTCCCGCACCTTCAACTCCTCATTTCTGGCCCCATCACAGAGCCCACATCCCCAGCTGGAACCCTCACCCCCTCCCACACCCTACCGCCCAATTTCGGGAGCATTCATGACCTGCCATATAATTTCTGTACCCAGATGTGGCCCTTGGGCCAAAACGTTTGCCCACTCCGATGTAATGAATAGTACTTCCCTTGCAAAAAGTCAGTTTTTCCCTTGTAAAGAAACATACATTCTTAAGCTATATTTTAAAATACTCTTCATATAATGTAAAAATATTCGACATATAAAATCACCTCATTTCATGTTATCTGTGAAAGTTTTGTGAGGCTTTGATGGTTCTCAGGATGCCTAGGACTGAGAGTCACCTTGTTACCACCCTGCCTCCAGCAAGAGGGAGCATTCCCCTGACACTGCCAGCCCTTCCCAGCCACACAAACTCTCTTCTCTCGGCTATGCCATCTCTTTCTTTGCCTTGCAGGTTAACAGGTGTACCTCAGTGCCCAAGCCTCTTTGTATTCAAGCCCCTGTAGTATTCAGCCCTTTATCCATGAACACTCACAGAATTACTAGGTCAGCTGTCCCCAAAAGGAACAGTGTACACAACAGCATGGATGCTTTAATTTAGGATCAGCTTCTTGTTCAATATTACAGCATTTACATATGTTTAAAGTTAAAACAGTAAGTTTATTAACAAAGAACAAAGATTCAAAGATTCAAGTGAGTAGGGATAATGGAAGCAGAAGGGTTACATATAAACCAAAATCATAAATTTAATCTCGAGAAAGTGTGTTAAGTTAACAAGCTAACCTTCTGTCTAGGTTTCAGAGTAGCAGCCGTGTTAGTCTGTATCCGCAAAAAGAACAGGAGTACTTGTGGCACCTTAGAGA